TTCTCTGTGTAGCTTTGGAACCTGTCTTGGAACTCACTCTGTAGACTCGGCTGGCCTCAAACTCACAGAGGTATGCCTGGCTCTGCCTCCCCAGTGCTGGGATTAAAGGTGTGCACCACTGCCGCCCAGCTGATAATACTTTTTTAAGTGATGTATCTCATTATCTAGCATTGCTGGATGATATAAATAGATTATCAAAAGAATTGCCTGGCATTTCAAAGCATATCATTAAAATATTCAGAATCACAAGCAATGAGCGCAGTGCCATGGGGGTCATCAAGTGCACAGTCTTCTTGGGATAGGAACTGTAGGGAAGCATCCTTCGTGATGCTTAGTCAGAAGCAAGGTGATAAAACAGGCACTGGACCCCAGGCTCACTGCACCTCCCGGACCCCCGGCTCACTGCACCTCCAGATCCTCGGCTCACTGCACCTCCAGACCCAGGGCTCACTGTACCTGCAGACCCGGGGCTCACTGCACCTGCAGACCCCAGCTCACTGTACCTGCAGACCCCAGGCTCACTATATCTGCAGAACCTGGGCTCACTGTACCTCCAGATATCAGGCCCATTCTACCTCCTGTGTCTCCAGGGCCACTGTACCTCCATGTCTCCAGGGTCACTGTACCTCCTGTGTCTCCAGGGTCACTGTACCTCCATGTCTCCAGGATCACTGTATCTCCATGTCTCCAGGGTCACTGTACCTCCATGTCTCCAGGGTCACTGTACCTCCCGTGTCTCCAGGGTCACTGTACCTCCATGTCTCCAGGGTCACTGTACCTCCCGTGTCTCCAGGGTCACTGTACCTCCCATGTCTCCAGGGTCACTGTACCTCCATGTCTCCAGAGTCACTGTACCTCCATGTCTTAGGGTCACTGTACCTCCCATGTCTCCAGGGTCACTCTACCTCCTGTGTCTCCAGGGCCATTGTACCTCCCAGAACTACACTTGCCAGTCACCTGTGCATTTAATTGCTTAAACCAATGTTATCTGTTCTTTGCAATACTGACTGAAATTGGTTCTGGAAAAGGAAGAAAAAAAAACATGAAATTGGTTCTGTAAAAGGAAGAAAAAAATTATACACGTTTTTGCTTAAATATTAAAAAATAATGAGAGCCTAAACATTCTGGTGGCAATAAGATTGGCCAATGAATGTTCTGTGGTGACCTGTGGCCTATGGAGCCATTTCCGTGGTGATTTCTGTGTCCTCCTAACAGAAAATGCTCAGCTGTTCTAGACCTGGGACTGGGAGCTTTGCTTAAATGGCAACTTCTCTCTTCTCTCTCTCTTTTTCTCTCCCTCCCTCTTCTCCTCCCTCCCCTTCTTTCTAATTTCTCTAACATCAAACAAAAGGGCCCCTCTAGTTGCTTGACCATTGAATCTCATCTGGAATACAGCTTTCTTCATACAGCTAACAAATATTCATGTGTTCAGTAGTTTGTCTGATGGAAGAGCGGATAGCCAGGGAGGAGCCAGCAGGACCAGGATCCAGGGACTTGTCTCTGTCCTGGCTACGCTGTGGCTTTCTTAAACTCTTTCCATGTATAACTCAATTTTCATCCAAAAAATTTTATATGACCTTTCCCCCCGGAATATATATATATATATATATATATATATATATATATATATATATATAAACTAACTATACAAATCAAACATTTGCTGGTAGCAAATCATAAGTAGACTTATTTTAAAAACAATTCTCTGGTATAAGGATTTACCATTTGTTAGTGATGAATGCAAATTGCACACTAATGAGATGAATATGCTTGTTCACTTACACAGAAAGAATTAAATCTTGGCTGAATGTCTGATACTGCAGGACCTGGAGCAGTGGTTTTGTCAGAGTTGGTAGAGGTTTTGCTTTTATATTTATCAATGCTCAGAAGGGTATTTTGCATAAATATATACTAAAAATGGCATAAATATGTTTCAAAAACTGTTGGAAATTCTGTCCTAATCCCAAACTGAATTTGATTGAAGTGTTTCAATGAAACGAAAGTTAAGAAGACAAAGAGCAATTTTTAAAATCAAGCATTATAGCACAATACAGTCCAAAGCCATACTAATTTGATACACGCTGAGAAGTGGGGGTAGGAAAATATTAAAAGTGTTTGTGTTCTATAAACTTTGTGTGGAAATGGAAGCAGCAGACTCCTTGCCATTGGTAGTCTGGAATTCTAGCCAGGGTGCTTCCAGTTGAGCCTGGAAGCGTTATGTGGCATGAGCCGCACTTGGAGCATGCCGACTAATGGTTGTGGTAGAACCAAGGCTGCACTGAAGTTCTAACAGGTTACAGAGTCTCAGATTCAGTTAGGTGTGGTGGCACACGCCTTTCATCCCAACACTTGAGGGACAAAGGCAGACAGAGTTCGAAGCCAGCCTGGTCTACAGAGAGAGTTCCAGGACAGCCAAGGCTACAAAGAGAAACCCTGCTTTGAAAAACCAAAACAACAACAACAACAACAAACCCAAAAGGAAGAAGAAAGTCAGATTCAGTATGCATTTGATTTTGCTTAATTTTTTATAGTTTTGCATTCAGAAATCTTTCACTGTTTCCATGTTGTTTTACACCCCTCAAATTTGAAGACACTGGCATAAGATGTGGACAGTTATCCAGACATTGGGCTCTGAGGATTCCATCCTGAGTCAGTGAAGATGGTTATTTAGATGACTGGATCCCGCTGCTCACTCCAGTCTGTCTTTGTTGACACTAGAGGAGGTTAATGGTTTTCACTTTCAATGGAATGGGAGTTACTAGTTTTGGTAATGCAGAGAAATCAGTGTGCCCCTTGTACCACTAAGAATGGAATTATCTGACTTCATTTCACAGGTAGAGAACCTTTGATCAAAAATATTGCATTGTGAGGAGACAAACTTTTTAAAGTTTCTTATAGAGAATTTACTGCTTGCAAGAAGCCATTTGTGTTAAATCAATTTTGTATGTTTGTATCATGCCATGTTTGGTTGCCAAACTTGATAGGCATTAATTTACATGTCTCCTACATATTCCATATTATCTGATCACAATGCAATAAAACAAGAAATTAACCAAAAAAGTAACAAAAACCAAATGACTACCCGAACATAATAAGACTTTGAAAACTATTGGTTCAGAGAAAAATTAGAACTGTTCACAATGCTGTTCAGGAAAAAAAAATTCTTGTGAGATCCAACCAAAGCTGTATTCATTGCAAATATATAGTATTAATCTTTTTCACTATGAGCTTGTACACCTTTATAAAATAAAGGTTTAAATAAAGTATAAAATTTGGACATACTGCACTATTAAAGGCAATGTGATGCAATAAAAATAAAATTTCACAATGAGTCAGTTAAAAGTGGAAATCAGTGGCTGTTGAGATGGCTTAGTGGATAAAGGCACTTACCACCAACCCTAAAAACCTATGTTCAATTCCTGGGACATCCATAGTGGAAGGAGAGAACAGACTCCAACAATTTTCTGACCCCTACATGTGTGTGTAGCACACCTCCCCCAAATAAATAAAATGTCATAAAATTATTAAAACTTTAAAAGTGGAATTCATATATGTAGGAGCTGTTTCTTAAAAATAATGAATAGAAACTGGATTTATAGATCCAATTAGCAGTATAGAGTACAATTATTTTATAAAATGTATAAAGAAACATTTTAGTGAATGCAGAAATTATAATTTGACACACTATATTTGGTGGCAGAGAAAACTGCATTTGATGGCTAACTACTTAATTCTGGGGTAGAGAATTAAGTGTTTTTAATGAAAAAAAAAACTTGACAAATGGTTATTTTGGAATTTCTTCTCAGACTGGACATGGTGGCTCCTGCCTCTAGGAGCCTGAGACAGAAGGATAGCTGTTAGCTTGGGGCCAGTTTAAGTTATGTAGTGAATTCCAGGTTGACTAAGCTACAAAGTAAGACTTTGTCTCAAATAAACAAAGGCTGAGGTGCCAGCTCAACATGTGAAGATGTCTTCACCACCAAGGCTGTCAGTATGAAGTAAAACACTGCCAGAGTATGTTACATCAGAAACAATTTCCACTGATCAGCTTCTATTATAAATATGTAGACAAAAAGGATAAGCATAAAATAGCAAGTTAAAATGAGTAATGTCTTAGGAATAATTCACTTGTACTGTGAGAATCCAGCCAATTCATTAATAACCAGCCACAGAAGTAGATCAAAGGGGTTAAATTCACACCAGAGATGGATGAAATGTATGACAATAAAAACAAAGCCTCATAAAATCCCTGGGGAAATATTAATATAATAGAAATAATATAACCTTTTAGTATATAACAAGATGTATCTCAGTCTGTGTCAGATTCAGTGGGGAATGCCCAAGGCATTCTTGCTGCCCTAAAGGAACATCATATATTTAATGAATTAAAGATTATTGCCATTAGTCATTTCTTCAAAGTATCAAATGATTTCCCAGATGTTAATAGAAACATACATTTATCTTCATTACTTCCAGAAACTTGAGTTATGACGAAGACTAGAAGCCTAAGCCTTCAGCAGAAAAGTGACAGGGAGAGAGGCTAATTGCAGACAGGTGCCAGGAAACTCTGGAAGCCCCGAAGGGAGTCACATGACACAGGATGGTAACAATGATTGTAAACAAAGTCCCTGAACAGGAGTTAGCCCCGCCCACTCACCCACCTACACGCTGTGTGACAACCCTTCTAGTCCAGCAGGGCACATGCTGGTCATCTGAAGAAATTAACCTATAGGATTTTGAGACTTTGGAATGCTAGGGAATACAGGAAGCTGAGTCTGAAGAATGGTGTGTTTATAAATAATAGCTGGGTACGTAAGTGTCTGTATCCAGGGACGAGAGTCATCTGTCTATTTGCTACTTGCCAACTATCTTTCAGGATAACTTCCAACCAATTCTGAGGAGAAAATTAAAATCTTGAAAAGAGGAAGAAGAAACAAAAAACAAAACACAAAACAAAACAAAACAGGATCTCAGAAGAAATACATTTAATTCCAGGAACAGAAGACGGTCTAAAACTGCAGTAAAAGCTGCAGGAGGTGAAAAATATGTCAATTAAACAAGAAGGCACTGGCTTATCTTCTGTGGTTTGTTTTTCTCTGCCTTCAGCATGCTGCGGCGATCTTGCCTCATTGTCTGGCTCTGTGGCTGACTCCATTCTTAGCTTGCAATCTTTGTCACAACAACCCTTGGTTCCAATCTGGGGCTTCTTCTGTACCCAGGACTATAACACAGAGTTGCTGTCTCTTGGCTTCTCCTGGAATTCCTGCTGCCATGATCCAAGCCTACTCCAGGTTCATCAGGGTTCTGACTTAGGGAGTCACTGCTACCCTTCAACACCAGGTAGCTATGGTTCTGATTTTCTTGGCCATAATTTCCCAAATTCTACTGTAGCGTGGAAGAGACATTGTGAGAATTAGTCATCTTCATTTGAAAAATACAGGGAGCTTAGCAGATAATCCATATACATGCTATAGCATGCATCCCCCAAAGTAAAACAAGCAAATGTATGACAAGCACTAGAAAGGTCACTGGTGCAAGCAGCCCCATTCTCACATGGTGGGGATAAATGGCCGTTGGCTCTCTTTCTAAGGATGCTTAGGATGTTTTGTGTACAGAGAAGCAGCAGCAGGCAGGAAAAAAGCAGCCACAAAGCCTACTGTACAATCAATGATCCAAGTCACACTCTTCCTGTCAGCAAAGTGATGTATGGAAGGGATCGTGGTAAAGCCTGGGAGGATTGTATGCTTGGGAAATTAATCCATAGAATAGAAAAAAGATTCAGCAAAATGAGACATAGTACAGTTCAAAGAGCATTTCATCACAAACATTTGCAGGTGGCTCATTTTTTTTTATACTTTCCTTTCATCTCATGATGTGATGCTAATAATATAAATTATATAATTACAAGAATACTTACTTTAAAATAATATCCCTAAGCAAGTTACAGACTTAACTTTTATAGTGAAAATGAAATCAAACTTTCACTCAATTGCTTATGAGATGAAGGGCTCAAGGCAAGCACTGTCACCCCTGGTGCTTCTGAGATGTCTCCACTGGAAAGTAGAAAGACCTCGGTGGAGGAGACGGCTCTGTGGGTAAACACGCTTACAATGCAAGGCTGACAACGTGAGTCCAGATCCCTGAAACACATTCACAAAACCTTGGCATGGTAGCACATGCTGTAATCTCAGCACTCAGAGGGTGAGACTCGAGGTGAAGGAGGAGACTCGCTTCGAAGCTCAAGCTCCAGTTGACCTAGTATAATGTGTGATGATGAAGCCGGAGGGACCCTGGCTCAAACAAGGAGGAAGGCTGACCTCGAGCCTGCATGTGTGCACCCTGGCCAGCAGGTACTCTCACAAATGAGAGCATGCACATCCACTCCCCCCCCCCCACACAATAATGAGAATAAACATCTAAAACAGAGGGAAAATAAAATAGAACAATAGCCCATAGCATGTGTTGCATTAGGTCTACATAGTCTTATTGTTACTATTCACACTTGATCTGGCCCTGTGTGCTGCTCCATGAGATGTTGTGTAGTTCATATCATCTATTTTCATATCTTCTAAGGATTTTAAAATAGTATGGCTGTGAGTGTCTTCCCTGTGAGTGTATATGTGTACCATGAACATGCCCTGTACCCACAGGAGGCCAGGAGACTGCTTCTGTTGCCCTGAAACTCCTGTGGCTTCAGGGAACCAAAGCTGGGTCCTCTGGCAGGGTAGCAGTGCTCTTAAACACTGAACTGTCTCTCCAGCCCCTCCCTTTTATCTACTTTCATGCTTTCACATTTAAACACCGACTCAAAGGAAGTTCAGAGGTACAAATACCAGTAGACAAAGCTCTGTGACTGGAACCTGTTGTACATAGTCATTCATATTTGTAAATAGCAAACTTTGTTTTCTCATTATGTTTTAAGGAGTAAGATTGGTAGAAATCCGATTGCCAATCTAGCCATCTCGATCAGACTTAACCATTATTTCTGTTTTGATCTCATATCCTTCAACTTGAGGGTATCATGAGATGTAAGTTTCATATCTGAAATGGTGACAAACTGTGTTGCCTCTCCATTGCGGTTTTTTCGAACATTAAGTTCCTAAGGAGGCATCTCTTAAAAAAGTAGTAGTGGTGGCATGCCACGTACTGTCATTATTTAAAAACTGTGACATTCTGACAGTGTGTCAGAAAAAATGGTAGCTGTGTGAAATTTACATGCCCGAGTTTGTAACTAAACTAATTTTGTCAGGGAATATTTTATAATCACCAAAATAAAAAACTGCATAATGAAAGTGAAATGAGCCGTCCGCGTGCATCGGGACCAAGTTTCAGTGCTCTGTCAGATAGGTTTGACGGCATTATTTTATAATAAATATAATTTATTTTAGAAATAGAGACAGAGTGAGATTATTTTCTAAAGAGTTACGGTCATTTGGGAACCTGTAAATAGTTTACTCTAGAATCGTTTTCATTTACAAGAGCAACATCAAGTCAACAACATTCCGACCCTCCCCTTTGTGTGCTTCTGCATTTTATTTATAGCAGAGGAAAACCTTTCTTCATTTCTTCTGACTGTGTAAAGGTGGTTCTTCTAAAATTGGGTTTAAAAAATACTCTCCAAAATAGACTTTAAGTGTTTTGACTTAGTTTCTGTTAAACAATTTGAGTAGGATGATTATTTCTCATGGGTAAGTTAACTGCAGTGTTCCATGGTATGTCTAAAAAGCAGCCCATTTTTAATTCCTATATAACACATCAAGAAAATTCTTCAGGAAGGAGGATTTAGTCTTTATAAAACAACTCTGTTGAACTATCAGGAATTTTATATATTTTAGAACCAAGTTCCCTATTTCTCTAAAGAGGCAGCTTTCCTTTAAAGGGCAGTAGCTCACTATGGTTGATTTGATCTTTTACTGAATGTGTTGGACTGGCATTAAGTACATTCTTTAATTAGCTGAACAACTATTGTCAAAAGCTTAGGCACCATATTTGGAAGTCTTTTATCGTTGAGTGTATTTGAATGGGTCTGTTAGGAAATCACTTGCATGTGCCACTACATTCAAGAAAGACATTTTAGCTTTATGCAGTGATCTCATTCTGAAGCTTAAAGGTAATGGAAAAAATACCTTTGTGCAGAAATTAAGTTGCTGTGAATCATGGGTAAAACACTTAGTCTTTCTGGACCTCAATTTCTCATCTGTAAAATAAAGACAAGGTTGTCCTCTCTGGTGAGCTCACAGGATTCTAAGAATGAAGTAAGAGAATCAATGTGAAAATGCACTCATATAAAGCAATCAGTGATAGGGCATGAGGGCCGGGGGAGATGACCCAGTTAGTAAGATGCTTGCTGTGTAAGCACACGGACCGAGTTTAGCTGGCACATATGTAAAAACGTAAGCCTAGGCACTGGTGCTTTTAATTCACACACTGGGGAGGCAGAAGCAGACAAATACCCGAGACTTACTGGCCAACCAGTCCAGAAATAACATGAAGAATGACTGAGAACCATAATCAGTGTAAACTCCTGGCGTCCACACAAATGCACACACTCGTACATCCACCTGCATAAAAATATATACATACATAACAATAGGGCCTCGTTTCTTCTCACCAATGTTCTATAGTGAAGAGTTACAACAGAGTGAAGCACATTTATTCTGCTAAAGGGAAATAGAATAGCATTACATATGGGCAATTCAGAGCTAGAAGTAGAAATAGAATACACAGAGATTTGTGATGACAAGAAGGGAAGCGATATAATCAATCAAATATTCAGTAACATTCTACTATGTTGGCAAAGTCGGTGTTGGAGAGAATGCCCTTTCTATTCTAAGAACGAGCTACCAAAGTAAGAAATGATGGCTTCATTGCTGTGGAAAATCACCGAAAGTCACAATCTCCACAATGGTAAAGGACTGAGTCTTTCATTGAAGCGTTTCTGTAGATGGAAGAGTAGGTATACAGTAGGTGCTGAGTAGAATTTTGCTGACAGGACTGAATGAATAGCCCTTGCTGTGGTCTCTATCCAAATTTTGCATCTGTGTTCATGTAGCTTGAGGATTTATCTTCTGCTCTGTTCATGTCAGGGGATTATTATAGCCTTTGTAAAACTGAGTTTTGGATGATGAACTAACTTTGCTCTTTTAGAATTAGTTTTACTTTTGAAGAAGGCATATAATACTTTTTGTATACTACAGACTTCTCTTTGGTGAATATTGATCTACAGTTTTCTTTTGATATCTATCAGTACAATACTAATCTCATAGAATAAATTGGGAAAAGATTCCTTTCCCTTGAATTTTCTGTATATTTTACACACATAATTTTCTGTATACACATATATTCATACACATAACTGACATTGTGTAGCTGGAGTTTTTCTGTGTCTACCCGGCTCCTGCAGCTGCTCAGACTCAAGTAAACACAGAGACTTATATTACTTATAAATTGTATGGCTGTGGCAGGCTTCTTGCTATCTAGTTCTTATATCTTAAATTAACCCATTTCTATTAATCTTTAAGTTGCTATGTGGCTTGTGGCTTACTGGTACTTTTACATCTTGCTTCCTCTGTGTTTGGCTGGTGACTCCTGACTCAGCCTTCCTGTTCCCAGAATTCTCCTCTCTCTTTGTCCCACCTATACTTCCTGCCTGGCTACTGGCCAATCAAAGCAACACATTCACAGCGTACAGAGTGATATCCACAGCAGACATTGTTTTGTGATTTTTTTTCTTACTTTGTGAGCTAGTATATCACTCTGTAACCCAGAATGGCCTGGAACTTAATGTGTAGCCCAGGTTTGCTTTGACCTTCCAACAATGCCACTGTCTCCTGAGAACTAGCATGACCTGCATGAACAGCCATTCCAAGCTGGTGATATTTTCTTTAGTGTTTTGAGGGTTTTGACAGTAAGCTGCATCTTAGCCTGGCGCTTTCTTTAGGGGAGGCTTTAAATTACAAATCCAAGTAGTTTAATTCTAAATTTACCAAATCATATATCATATAATATGATATTAGCCACAGTTATTTCTTCTTGATTTTGGTAGTTTGTTGTTTTTATGGAATTACTCATTTCCTATACATTTTCAAATGTATAGGCATAGAGCTATTGGCAACTGTCTTGAAAGAGATTTTGACTGTCTCTAAACTCTGAAGTGATGTCATGACTTCCATTCATTTTTGAGGTAGGGACTCACTGTGAATCTCTGGTCTGTTGTAGACCAGGCTGACTTCAAACTCACAAAGACCTACCTGTCTTCACCACTGGGATGCTGGGATAAGAGTTCATTACTACACTTGGCTCCATGAATCCTAGCCTTAATATGATAGTTTGTCTTTTCCTTTTTCATGATTGTCTGGCAGGGACTTTGTTAGAATTTCCTCAGATAATCAACTGTGGGTTTCACTGATTTTCTCTATTTGTCTCTCTATTCTATTTCATCCATTTCTGCTCCCATCTTCACCACTACCTTATTTCAACTTGCTGTGTTTTTTTTCTCACTCTTTTCCATTTCTTAAGGTAGTAGTTGACTTAAGGCACTGTCTAAAATTAGTGTCTTAACTGCTATTCATTAATTTTTATAGGCTATGTTTTCATTCCAACTCAGGTTAAAATGCTTTTAAAATAGTAACGAGAAACAGCAGCAGTGAACTGACCATCATGTCCACTTGACTCCATTAACTATATCACTGTGCATGTGTCAGAACACCATATCATATACCTTACATTCATAAAAATACAAATAAATATTATGAAATAAAATTATTTCTAATTTTTCTTTTGATTTGTTTCTGATCTACAGATATTTAAAGGTATTTCGCTTTCCTCCCTAACAGTTTCAAGATTTTACCATATGTCTTTGTGTAAATGACTTCTGGGTGGAGGGGGGGTCATAAGAAATCAGTTGTATGATTAAATCCTTTCTAAATTTATTTTATAGCATGTGATATAGTATATAAAACCATAATCATAAATAAATAATCCATGTGCTCTTCAAAGAATTTGCATTGTTCTTGAAATTTGTATAAATGTCTGAGATGGTACTATTCAGCTCTTTTTGTATGTCTTTGCTGGTTTTCTGTATACTGTTTCTCTTTCAACTATTGAGGTTACTGAAATCTTCTACAAATGAGGTTTATTTCTCCTTTTCAGTCTATTAGTTTTTTAAAAATTTTATTGAATGCATAAATATTTAGGGTTGCTATGTCCTCTTCATAAACTGGCCACTTTCTCACTAGGGAATGGAAGTCTTTATCTTTACAAATATTAGTTGCTTCAGAATCTATTTTGTCTCAGATTTTCTGTAGATTGGTATTAGCTTTTGTATCTTCTGCTTTTTTTCATTTTAACACATCTGTGTTATTATATTTATAGTACATATTTTAAATATCTTGTAGTTTTTTTTAAGACACATATGGCAGGCTCTGCCTTTTAGTTGGAATGGATAGACTACTTACATTTAGTGTGTTTCTCTTATATGGTTAGGCTCAAATTTATTTCCTAGTTGTCCTAGGAAATAAATTAGTCTGTCTTCACTTTTTACTTTTGTTCCTTATTTTGGGTTATCTTTAAAACAATTTTATTAACATATATTAACTGTACAAAATAATTTGTTTCATTGTTACATTTTCATACATGCATATAACATGCTTTAATTACAATCACCCCAATTACCTTCTTTGATGCTCTATTTCCTAAAGTCTTATCCTGTGTGTGTGTGTTCTTGCATGTGTTCACACACTCTCATGTGGTTTGTACATAGGTGCACATGTATGCATGCATATGCATATGTGTGAAGGCCAGAGAACAGCTTCATGTGTCATTATTTGCATATTTTCCACTTTGTTTGTTTAAAACAGGACCATTCCTTGGCCTGGGACTCATTGGGTGGGGAAGGCTATGGTCCAGCAGTTCCCAAGGATCGAGCCATTTCTCCAGTTCCTGTGAATATAAGCGCATGCCACCACCATACCCCGCTTTTGACATGGGTTGTGGGGATCAAACTCAGGTTCTAGAATTATCTCACCAACTGACTTACTCCTTCATACTAGTTCTTTTAAATGATTTCATTGAATCTTCTCTTGGTGTGCAGCCACAGCCGGTTCTGTTGTTACTTTAGGAGAGTCACTGTCCTTCTTTAACTTACTACTGTGTATCCTTCAGTGATGTGGTCATGCATCTGTCCTAGTATGAGAACTTTGCCAAAACTACACTTGAATTTCTCCAATTTTTTGCTGATGTCATAAATTTTATTGTTGCTTTAATTAAAAATTTTATGTACATTATTACAGGTTTGGGCTAAGAATTTCATTAAAATTTAGAGTTTGACCATTTTTTTCTTAAAATATTTATGAGCTTTTAATGTTTTAAATATTTTATTTCATATGTGTGGATATTTTACCAGCCAGTATGCCTGTATACTGTGTATATACAGTTTCTGTAGAGCCCAGAAGATGTCAGAAGCCCTGAAGCTGGCCTTACAGCTGGTTGTGAGCCACCGCGGGTGCCGGTTACCTAACCGGCGCTTCGTACCTCTCAGGGGCTCCCAATGCATGTCTGCTGTGTGCCTTGAGATGTTTTCATATATCATCAAAGCTCCCTTTGCGGTTTAAGACCTCGACTCCCCTCCTCGCTGCCGTGGGTGGTTTCTGCTGCTGTCTTCACCGCTGTTCCCTGCCCCACCCCCCCACCCCCCCATCTAACAGCTGTTTTGTCCAACGTATTTTCCACCTGACACATTACAGTTTCTATCTTTAGAAATTTTCCTTGGTTCTCTTTAATACCATTCATTTCACTACTTTATTTTTGAACCAACAGGATATACTTACATCACTATTTAAATGTTTAATTTTTTCCAGTTAATTCTAGCACCTCTGTGTTGGGACCTGTTTTGATGTTTCTTTCTTTTTTTTCCTTCTTCCTTTTTTGGAGTCATAATTTCCTGCTTCTTTCATGACTGGTAAATTTTAAAAAATTATATTTAGAATAATACAAGGTTGACCTTCTTAGCTGCTGATGCTTCATGGCCACCAACTTTTCTCCTCTGATTCCTGTTAGGCAGGAGGAATTGACATCTGTCCCAGCTTATTGCTTGTGCCAAGGGAAACCCGTCGGTTTATTCCACTCCCACCTTAGGGTCCTGAGCTTTTCCTCTCAGTGGTGGACATGGCTCTGTGTGGCGTCCAGGTCCCTCAGGCACTGTTGTGCTAGCCTCCTCTGGGAATTCTGCCTGGGATGTCTCTGCCACTCATGCTGATCTGGAACTGCTTTTGTTGACTGATGCTTAGGCTTTGTTCTGGTCTCCTCCGAACGCCTCCCCATCATCAGTCTCTTGTCTCTCTGATTCCACGAGTCTTCAGAGTTCTACCCTAATCAACATTCCCACTTGCTGAGCAATGTTTCAAACTGGAAAAATTTGTGGGCTTCCCTGTACATGCCATAGATAATGGCAAATGTGTTTATGTAGCCCATGTCCTCTGTGTTGTTATTTTTTTTTCTCTTTTAGGGCGGCTGCCACCCAGCTCCCAAATAAATCACACACAGTGGCTTATTCTTAATTATAAATGCTCGACCTTAGCTTGGCTTATTTCTTGCCAGCTTTTTTAAAATTATTCCTGCCTATCTTTCGCCTTTGGACTTTTTCTCTCTCTATTCCTGTACACCTTTCATTATTTCTTGCTCCATGGCTTGCTATGAGGCTGAGTGCCTAGGTGGCTGGCCCCTGATATCCTCCTCTTTCTCTTGCTCCTTCTCTCTTTTTTCTCCTCCCAGATTTCTCCTATTCATTCTCTCTGCCTGCCAGCCCTGCCTATCATTTCTTCTACCTCACTATTGGCCATTAAGCTCTTTATTAGACCATCAGATGTTTTAGACAGGCAAAGTATCACAGTTTCACAGAGTTAAACAAATGCAGCATAAACAAAAGTAACACACATTAAAATAATATTCTATAATATATTGTCTTAAAACTTTATTTCAAATAATTTTTCTGTTGTTTACAGTAGAAAATAAAATCAGGTAAATGGTACCATGCAGACAGTAGATACTCCTGACTCTTAGTCATTTTTGTATTGTAAGAATAATGTTCTAAATGCCATTTTCCTCCATATCAGGAAAGTTAGTTTCATCTCCATCCCTCTATTTTCTCATCTATAAAATACAAATCATAGTTGTGTTTTCTTTCATTTCAGATTTCAATGACACTATAAAGCACTGAATGAATATATAACAGCTCATCTATTCTTAATGTAGTTTGTTATCAATATTTTGGGGTTAAAATGAAAAACTTTCTTACTTCAAAATGCATGTGTGCTTCCTTGAATTTGTTTCTGTTCAATAGTCTAAGTGTTTATACTAAACAAGAGAAAGACCATGTGTCTTTATAGAAAGAAAGCAATTATTTTTTCTGTTGTTAATATTTCTGTTTTATTTATTTCTCCATTTATTTTTGAAACAGAGTATCATTATGTGACGCAACCTTCCTGGGTGTCTGGTATGTTTAACCCTGCTCTGTCCCTCTGGAGTATTTAAGAGTTGCTCCTTACTTCACAGTTACACTGGAACCTGCATTCATTTTAAAAGATGAGTGGGCTCAGCAAGTGCTGGTTCTCAGTTAGGTAGGAGCAGGACGTCCCAGGTACTCATACAGATGGGTTTTGCTGATCATAACTGTAATGTGCTGTTCATTTCAGAAATCTAGGAAAAAGGAACTGAACGTTTTACCATAATGATGTAAAGCACTTTTGAGGTGTTGAGTATATTTAAACAGATTTGAACTTTATACTATAGATAATTCACCAAAATATCATGATATACCTCATGATAGCTATAATTTTATGTATCAATATTTTTCTTAAAAACTCTATTTAAATTCAAATAAAGTAGAACATGTTTATTTTTTTAAATCCAGCAAAATATAAAAAAGAAATTAATTTCTACTTTATTTTTTTGTAGTTCTTTTGCTCTCTCTACATTTTTTTAAATTCAGTTCAAGGAAAAAATATTTTAGCATATATTTCATCTATACTAATCTCTTTTTCCTTACAGGAAAATTTCTCCCCAGTAAGTTAGCATTTTTATGTAGGTTTTTTTTCCACAAAAATGAATCATAATATTATTTTATTAAAAGTGAAAAACCGTGTATACCTTCATGAGCATACTAACATGATAAACAATCTAATGTAGTCTGAAAACAGCCCAGAGCAGCCTTACTTCTTCAGTTCACTGTTGTGTTGGGTCCTGACAACTCCTGCGTGTCTTCTAGAACGGTTGTACCAGAATATCTTTGAATAGGAAGGAGCGTAGCGAGTTCCCATCCTATAGGAGGCCAAGTCAAGAGCATCTGATGCTGCCCAGGAGTCTCTGAGGATGCAGAGATGTGATGGCTAGTGGGCTCATGAGTGACAAGGCAGTCACAGAGCTGCTATTATATAGAAGAAGGTAGTTAAGGACTTTCTTGCTACCATCTCTTGTAACTTGCCTATAAGTCACTATAATCTACCAGGCATTTGAACCAAAGATGAGGTAAAGTAGGAAAAAAAATCTACTGAAAATACCCAGGTTCATAAACATGGTTGCCAGTATTTTGGGAGACTTGTGCTTGCATGTTGCCACCAGAAATGGTTTAAGTAGGGTTAGGAGTACCACAGTAAACAAGGTTAATCCACCGTCCTGTTGGTTCTAGTGCATTTATCTTTGCATCCCTGTAACACGAATCGCTAAATGGTCTTAATAAAAAACCCAGAGCCAGATATTGGGGTAAAAGCTGAAAAATCAGAGAGACAGAGAGCAAGCCACTAGTTCTTCCCTCTATGAAATCCTCCTTCAAAAGAGAGCTACTTCCTGTGTACTCACGCCTTATATACCTTTCTGTTCTGCCATCTTTCTTCCTCTCTCTACCCAGCTACATCACTTCCTCTTTCTGCCCAACTCTATCACTTCCTGTCTATCTGTACAGACCTCCAGAACTCCATGGTTAACTAGTGCTGGGATTAAAGGTGTGTGTCACCAAGCTTGGCTCTATTCCCAATGTGGCTGTGAACTCGCAGAGATCCGGATGAATCTCTGCCTCCCGAATGCTAGGATTAAAGGTGTGTGCCACCACTGTCTGGCTCCTGTGTCTAAACTAGTGGCTGGCAATGTCCTCTCGTTCCCAGGTAAGTTTTATTAGGGTGCTCAATATATCACCACACATCCCAAATGACCATTGTAAAGTTTCCAGGGATGTTAGGAGCCACATAATTTGAGCCTTTGTTTTGGCAGAAAAAAAATCATAGTTAAAATTTACAATTTGTTCAAAGTACAGATAAGCTGGTGCATTCTGGAACTGAGCAAAGGGCACAGCTCCAGCTGGGAATTTTGGTGATTGTTCCTGGGAATGTTTATCACATTCAGTGTTCACAGCCCAGCTGAAGAATTTTGAGCAAAACTCTTATGAACATTTGAAAGTTTATTTCACCAACATCTGCCAGTTGATGAGGACAATTTGTGAGGAACTGAGGTTGTTGGCAAAGGTGAAAGGTCAAGAGGATCACTTGCTAGGCTTCGCATAACTCAAGACATGATTGCGCTGGCTCATGTGGACCCTCACATTTGTGTCATGTGGAATAAGGAGAAGATCTGGGTCCCAGGCCTCCATGTCTGAGCGAAGCAGTCAGGGAGCCTGTTAGTTGGTACCTATGTTCTAGAGAGGTGGGCAGTAGTGCTTTGATTAGATGCATAGGTAATTCTCCCACCTGCAAAGTGCTTCTCAAAGTCAGAATTTCCTCCTTGTAGACCCTATTCATTCTCTAACTTCACCTCTTGTAGAATGCATGTAAAATGTTGAAATGAAGCATTATATACAGGGAATGCATTTCAGTCTGTTGCTGAATGTTTTCTGCTGGTTTCTTTATTCTCAGAAATGTCTCCTTCCTGTGTTTGGAAGTTGTTAATTCATGCAGATCAGGTTAATCCTTCTTTCCTCTCATGCATTAGAACGATGTCCGATTCAGAGGCCATCCATAATAGGTCATCCCACAGCAGAATCAAAACATTGCTCATTTAGGCTCGGGGCTGTAGCATGGCAGAGCCCATCCCCGGCAAGCCCAAGATGCTGCAGTCAGTCCATAGTCCTGTGAAATAAGAAAGCATAAGGAAGGAAAGCAGCAAATTTGTTAATTTGGTGCTCACTGCATGTTTACCTTCTGACTAAACAGTTCCTTAGGCAATAGAAGGTAAAAAACGAGCCCTGTTTCCATTCCCCAAGTTACTGGCTTAACAAAGAAATGCCTCTTGGTTTACTATGCTCTGGGATGTTTCACAGAAAGAGGTGGATATGTTCTTCATAAGATGGATGCAGCCAGTTTCTATTTCCTCTTGGGCTAAGGTCCTGGGGAGTCTGACTACCTGTCTCCGACAGAGGGACTGTTACTTGTCTTAACCACCTTCCTTCCTGCTTGGTGCCAGCCTTTTCTGTCTTCACCTGTTTTGAGGATTTTACTCCCCCTGGTGGCTCTTGCCATGAATCCGTGCCGAGCCTTTTCCAGGGCATCTTTCACTTATTTCTCTTCAAGAGGATCCACGGGCTGCAGTGTTTATGTTCCGTCTCCTGTGTTTCAAGGTAGATGTTTCAGTTTTCAGGAAGTTGTTTTTCTCTAAAAGTTTGCCCGGGGAGACTAGAGTA